AACATTGGGTGACTTACATAACAGACAACATAAAATATAATACAGCACATCTTCAATTTAGCCCAATCCACATGCACAGAAGTGGACTTTTTCATAACCTAATTTAATTTTAGCATATCAAATAGCAGACTTTCAGTTCTTTATCTATTCATAATGCCTTTTAGCATCTAGGAAAAAATATTTCCCGAATCTTCTGAACAGATACATCCTGTACGGACATTACTGGAGATAATGAGGAACTTACCCCAGCAAATCATGTGTGTCCTGTCTTTTGGGTAGATTAGAACAACGCATGGAAGAACAGCCGAGTCTATCTCCAATGCAGGCTGTTTTTTAAAAGGAACATAGCAGGATTGATCAGTGTTTTGTCTTGAATTATCTTTTGTAAATTACATAAAGGGGCCACCTAAAAACCTATATACTTGTTGTTATGGGATTGTTTAAATGTTATCATTGTTTTGGCCCATTGCACTCTGCTGAGGCAAGGTGGAACACAAATGATTTAAATAGATTAAATAATTTTAAAAATTAAATAATTATTTAAATCAAATAATAAAAATAGGCCTTCAGCACCAGTAGTATGATCTGGAGGCCTGTGCACAAGTGTCATGCACGGGCAAATATGAACGGGGCAGATGCTGAAGCAGAAATATCCTGATCAGATAATATGTTGATAGTATTTTATTTAAAAAAAAAAAGCTTTTAACTGCTAACAAACTATCTATTCATCACAGACATAATAAAACCATTGATTCCCCAGCAATCAGCCACAAGGTCGGCTGCGTCCATCGCTTTCGTAGGTGCCTAATGCCCCCTAGCGGCAAAATATTGCCATTACATGTGAAAGTCGGCTGTAAGATGTGGAATAAGGATGGAAATAAGAATCTGGGTTACTTCCAAGCTGAGACTTCTTAGCACTAACAGTCAAAAGACATTGTACAACTATTCCATCTCTCCCCGCCATTCTCTTAACATTTATTTTCTCAGGAAAGAATAACGGAAAAAGTGGCAGGAAAACATTAGAGGACTACAAATGGAAGATGACAACTTCTCCCTGCTGCTGAAAAATCCCATGAATGCAATTCCAGCGTAAGGGAGCAGTTCTGTGGTGCCTGGCGGAGCATCCTGGGGACTACACAATATTGCTTCATTCCCCTACTGAAGCCATCGACATGGCTACACACTTGGCTGGGTCTGGAATCCAAAGAGGGATTATTTCCCCTTTCACACACACCTTTTCCAGAACACATCACAGGTGTTTCCTCAGCAGAGGTCATAGGCTGGAGTTCCAACCTCAGGTGAACACCAATGAGAGCGATCCATGAGAAGGGCTGAGGATCCATGATGCTGTGAAGCCTCTTGGCTCATGTCTGTGTGAGTCCACTCGGACTCAGAGCATATGAACACTTTTTTGCAACAGAAAAGTATACAGTTATTCTCAAAAAATGTTGTCTGGAAGCATTGCAAGACTCACAGGTAAACCCGATTGCTTGTACTTGAGTTCCCACCAACTAGGTGTTTGACATTTTGGTTTCTGCCTTCTTCTGCAGTTGATGTATTTAGTGAATCCTTTCATATCCCCACTTGCAGAAGAAAACACTAATCAGGGCAGTCCAGATATGGAAAAGATCTGGGGCTCAGGCTCACAGAACAAAAAAGAAAAAAACCCTACAGAGTTGCATGTACTGATTTACTTATTCTCTAAAATCTGTGTGTGTGTGGGTGGAAGAACCTGTCTCCTAAGGACATGCCTATTAATTAAAATGGATGTATAGACAGGGGAGAGGAGGACATGTGATTTCAAAAAGAAACCTCAGGCAGAAAGATTCAGGGGGTCAGAGACAGGAGGAGGGCTGCACATTTGAGCAGAGGCAAGGCAGACAGTTCAGGAGGAACAGATGCAACAGCAGGTGCCTATGAACAGCAGGGTGACTGGCAGGTGGCTCCCAGAAATCCAGGCCTCCAAATGAAACATTTGGCTTCCTTCCAACACCAGCCCTGGACATGAAATTACCCTCCAAAATTTGAGGAGCTGCCCCATAGAAGTGGCCACAGATAGAGCCACTGCTTCCCCACAGTGCAGGACTTGAGCTAGTAGGCCTAAGTCACTAGAAGGTAGTTTCTACTTGAACTTAGTAGGAGCAGCTCAACACTGGGACCAGCTATTGGGCAAGGCAGGGGGAGAGAGGGCCACCCAGAACTCTGTACCATTGACCCACGTAACTCAGTACTCTTGATACTGAATGGCTTCAGGCAGATTTCTTTCCTGGCCCTCCCTGGAGAAGCCAAGGGTCAAGCCAGAGACCGTTTCTTTGCATGGCCATGCTGGCTGGGAACTATGGGAGTTGCAGTCCAACACTTCTGCAAGGCAATGAATTGGAGAAGACAGTGAAGTCACAGGGTGGATATTTTGGAGGAAGCAGTTGCAAGGACATGGGAAAAAGAATATTCCAGATTGATGAACCCGTTGGCCAGAAACACCTTTCATCAACACTAGTGAAGGGGTGGTGCTGGCAGCATCATTTTTTGCTGTCATATTCAGACTGGAATATTGGCGTGTGCTCTGTGTGAGATCTTTCATTAAGAGCGTAAAAGGAGCCATGCTGGATCAGTGCAAGGGTCTTTGTTCAGCCTTCTGTTCAAGCGGGCCAACAAGCTGCCCACAGGAAATCCATGAGTAAGACAGCAGAGCCCTCCTGCTCATGTTCCCCAGCACCTGGTGCACACAGACATACTTCCTCTGACTCTGAGAGCAGCACCTGCTCAGGAGGGCTAGCAGCTTTTCATATGCTTGTCCTTCCATAAGCAGGATATGAATACAACAGCACCTTCCTTTACTCCCACTCTAAGGGTGCAATCCTATGCAAGTTTAGAAAACAGCTGACAATTCCCAGCATAGCTGCCTGGGGGGACATACTGGTAGGCCTTTGTTCTGTCTGAACTTGCATAGGATTGCACCATAATACTGGTTTGCACAAGCAATTCCTTGTTAAGGCATACAAAGGCTGATCTTTAGACATGCATCACCTTTACTGGTTGAAAATAAAAAAAATCAGAATCACATGTGCTGGATGTACACATCAGCAAGCAGCACCTGTTGATTATATTTATATTTTTATTAAAATTAATCATCCCTCCATGCAATGAACACTTGAGGCAATGCAGAATACAAAGATACATAAAAAAACCGGAATCTGATTTTTTTTGAAACACAGTAATGAAAATAGTGAAGAAGTATTACAGCAGAAGAGAACTGTCTTCACCATCTGCCTAAAAGATGCCAAAGAGGTGGAAAGCATAGGGTGGAAGTCTCACAACTGGCACATTGACATAAGTGCAGCAAGAGCAACTGGGCTAAAACCAGGCCGTTTTAGGGCCATGGAAGGGGCTGGAAATATTGGAAGGCAGAGTTACTGATACCAAACTAAAGTAGGCATTGGGGTGAGAAGCCACAGGGAATCCCATATAAGAATGAAAAATACCAAGTCAAAGGCGAGTCTGCCCTGCATGCAAGGCCACCTGGGAAGCACCAGCGGTGCTGCCTTCAACTTTATTGGATGCACACGTGCTCAATACATTGAGCACTCATTTGTGTTCTTCTATGGTCAGTTAAATAGATCAGGAATAAACAACCTAGTGGTCCTGGGCACCAATGCACACACGCAGGATTTTCTGGACACCCAGCCAGTTGCCCTATCCCTCACACCTTCCTTTTCAAAGCGAAGAGCAATCCAGTCGCCCCAGTGACACTCTCAGAGCCACAAAGTAATTTGGATTCCTCTATCTGAGGCTGGCCAAGAGATGCTCAGGCCTCGGAAATGGAAGTCTGTGCTCTGATCTCATCCTGCCCAGCTGGCACACATCTAAATGTAGCAGTTGCCTTTCTAAAGGCAGGAATTGACCTTGGAGCTGCTGAAGTAGTCATTCCAGGTGCAGGAGGGAAGTGACGGGTACTGCCAATGAGGTATCCTGCCAGTGCTGCCATCTAGCTAAAAGGCAGAGCAGGAAGTACAAGGAAGCTCTTCCTGGTCTGCATTGGTTGCTCATATGCCTTTGAGCACAGGATCTTATGAGTCCTGTATTTGGCACAAGTTGCTTTTCCTTAGGCTTGGCGATGGTGCCCAAGAGTTTCTCAAGTTGCCAAATATGCCCACAGCCTACTCATGTTGTCTACATCAGTGCAGGTATTTAATTTCCGGTTTAAGGGTAGAGAGAGGAGACATGGGACAGGGATCCGATTCCGCATTCATCCTTTTTCATCTTGACTTGTTCATATTGCCTCAGTAGAGACTAGGGCATTCAGCACATGGGTTATCTGAATAAGAGGACATGCAGATGGCTTACCCATTTCTAGCTGTGATTAACTTAAAAATTTCATTATGAATTTGTAAATAGGAGTTCTGATTACAAATGGATCCACTAGCAGTTAATAAAAATTTCAGTTTTGGCTTGCCTAAAAAGTCCAGAAAATGTCAACTCTCAAAGCATGAATGTCACCACAGCGGAAGCTTCCTGAAGGGCACACTGCCCCAAACCTGTTGCTGCAATGCCAGGAATGAACAAGTCCTGAATTAGATATAGATCTTAAACCTGAATCTGTTCCGAGAAGATTCAGCACAGGGGCCATGGCTTTGGCTTACTAGCTATTCATGGGAGGGCAGAGCACTTCTCTTCCATCACAACCGCCCTTTTCTTCTGCAACTCAGCAAGAATGGCATTCATACAGCCTTTCTAGTTTTGACAGCTGTAGAGTATTTCACATTTGCCACTTAATACGTTGAACATAAAGCATCCTCGTCAGCAGCAACCCACTACAGCCTTGCAGGAGAACATCTGCAAAAGTCAGGATGACAAGGCTGCTGACAAGTATTTACTTTCAACGCACACAAAAGTTATTCTTTTATGAACTGTAGGAATATGCAAATTCATGTTTGCTTTTTAAAAAATGAAACCACTGTACAAGATGGCAGATTATGAAAAATCTAGGAAAACTCTGGGTATACAAATCAAAGCACTGTTTATTTCTTTTTCCCTTTTGAAGGCTTAACGAACAAAGTTGGATCAATCTGCTCTCTAGATAGACCTCTCACGGAGAACAGCCGTGCTGCTCTTTCTTGTAATGTGCCTCCACATTTCAGTCCCAAGGCCATCAGTTCAAATTTTAGCTGGTCTAGGCCCAGGGCTTCCAGCTCCACAACTGAGTTGAATTCCAGCAGATCTATTCTTGAGGTCTCCTAAAACAAACAGAAAGAGACATCCTGTGTTTAAAATGTGCATCTCAGACAATCAGAGAGAGGTAAATGCTTACAGTGATATTGCAAAGTCCTCTTTTGTATTATAACAGCTGTTTTGGTTTAAAAGTGTCCTCTGTAAGATTCAGAACAACTGTTGTCTTTGATTGAAGAGCTCTATGAGTGGAACTAATGTGACTAATACAAAATAACTAGAAAGTACTACTGTGAAACTCCCATTTTCACAACCAGATTGATAGCTCCCAAAAACAGGACATTCTTTGGTGAATTTCTCAAGGTGAGGTGAAATTCCAGAGTTGGAAGGAAGCTTAACAGCAGGAGCATGTTGCAGCATCTAAAAAAAACACCTCTTCTTCCCTTTTTTTTTTAACTGCTGTTTTTTTCCCAAACAATGCATCTAGAAAGACACTGCCTACATCATGCCATGGTGTCACCCAAACTGGCACACTGTGATACAAAGTCTTTTTCTACATTAATGGGTTCAAGAAGCAAAATGAGCCCAACTTCTAGCAGAAATAACTTATCATACTTACAGTGCCCAGTGACTGGCTCACAGCTTCTGCAGGACTTGAGGCACTGGCTTGCTCTCTCTCTTTCAGGGTCTTGGCCCCTTCACATTCCTCATTAGCTGATGTATGTTTCTCATCTGCTGGAGCTTCACTAGCAGGCAGATCTTCTACCACACCATTTTTAGCAAGTTCCATTTGTACCTGTGACTTCTCAGCTGTATCAGAGACCGAACTGACCGTTAAGGAATCCTCAGAACTGCTGGGAGGCTCTTCTGTACCGTCCGCTGCGTCAACATGGCTGTTAGCGGACACTGAGGAGCTTCCTGATGCACTAGGTGATTTGTCATCTTCACTGTCGCTGCTGTCTTGTGAACTATCAGCGTCTTCCAAACCTTCCACACCCATCCTGCCACAATCAAGAGAAATCCAGTTTAAAGCCTGCATTATTTTCACAGCTGGTCTTTTCAAAGCACAGATATGAAGCAGATTTCCAGATGGCCACTAGTTCGTTTTCCCTGTAAAATATGAAAGGAGCTACAAAACAGAACTTTCCTCAATAGAAGACCAGTATGGGTGAAGCTCTCACAATGTGCGACTACCAATCATCGCCAAATCCTGTACAGTCATCACCAACTCCGTGGCAATGGTTAAGGAGCATAACTCTTTCAAAAAGTAGCCACAGCAGGAAGTCTGAAAGCATGTGCACTCAAGCAGATTCAAGATTCACAAGACTGTTCCCACCCAATTCCAAGGGACTCGCCCAAGAATAGTGATCATATCAACTTTGGCAATACACCAGCTGAAAAACTACACGGACGATGTTCACGAGAAGTTGCTTTCTAGTTTTCCTACTGCACTGAATATAAAAAGGTGAATGTGCTGAATTACTTCATTGCAATTTGCCACAACAATTACTGACTTTTCACCTAAGCACTTGTGCAACCAGAAGACTGGGGAAACTCCCATTTTACAAGCAGAGAACCGCTTGCAGTTCTTAGGTTCCAAAAAACTGTGCTTAAGGCCTCTCTCTTGTACCCTACCTTTAAGCAAAGCAGCTTGGGTCCTTTTTTGCCATTTGGGTGTTCTTATAGTGCCAGAGAATGAACTATAATGCTTACCAAAAACACATTTTCTTTTCTGATGTTGCTCCCTTTTCAGACTCATTTGGTCGCTTTCGACTCTCACTGCATTCTGGTGATACCACTATGCTAGACGAAGCTTGCATGCCTGCAAAACAGCACAACTATTTAGCTCTTCCTATTCAGTTAGCCCCACCAAATGAGTATTTCTGTTCCAAGCCTTAATAATATCCAAGCAGGTGAATCAACGGAAGCTAATGTGGCAGAGCACCTATGCCACTGAGCAGCAAGAAAGGAGGGGAGACAAAGACTGAAAACAATATACAAGGAGGTTCAGCAGCTTGTCAGTCTTTGTAGCTGACAGGCTGTTCAGCTATGGCCAATTAACTAGGCCCAGCTACTGAGAAAAGCATTCCAGGATCTGGACCAACAATGTCTACAGCGCTACCTTTGAGAACAGAGTCTTCTAGCCTCTCTGCCATCTCATGACATTGCTGCTGGTAGTCTGGATTTGTGAAAACATGTTTTGGTTCAGCCAGTTTGCGCTTCAGCCTCTCCAAACGCCTTTGCTCCTTATCTGCTTCCCGTTCTGCTTGCTGCTTCACCCATTCAGCCATCCTGTAAGGGAGGAGGAGATACATGAAAGAGGATTCACTTCAGCATGAGTGCTCCATTGTGAGTTTCGTACTTTGGATTACTCACTTTCCCTCATCTGTCTGGGAGAAAAGCCTATAGGACAGAATAAGCAACCTGGTGTCCTCCAGATAGTTTGGACTGCAATTCCCATCAGCTCCAGCCAGTATAGCTAATGGTAAGCAATCATGGGTGTTGTAGTCCAAAACATCTGCAGAGCATGAGATCAGCTATCACATAACCAAACACCCCATCTACCCATGCTTCCTATACAGATACATGAAAACTTGGGTTTCCACTTGTAACTGATGGAAATGTAGCAGAGGTCACTGTCAAAGGCAAGAAGGGAGATGAATCATCTTCTGAACCCTTGGAAGGATATTCCTTGCCCACCAAGATCACTTGCATCAGGCTCTTGCCAGGTTCATTGTTTACTTTTACCCATGTAAATGCATTTCCTGCAGATAAAATAAGAGCTCCTTAAACAGCTGGCAGCTTTTACACGGTAACCAAACAGTTCTGATGCCCCAGAATTTCATTGCGTTCAGAAATGCTGTAGGCACAGAAGCAGACAAGTCGGCAATGAGCAACCACCACATGATCAGTTGAAGGCAACTGCATCAAAACTAGTGGAATAGAGATTGTCACATGGTTCTAAATAGTTTGTTGAGACTGCAGCTAATTTCTGGGGCTTACACAGATGAGATACTGCAGAGATGTAGCGTACAGAGATTGCACTGTATGTGTTCTCATTTGGAATCCTTGTAACTCAACATTTGAGAAACCTGGTTTGAAAGCTATGCAATATGGGGAGAGTAGAATTTATGGTAATTTATTATTTGTGAGATGAAGAAATGCCTCACGCTTTTTCATGGTTAACATCTCGAAGTCTTCTTCCACTGAGATCTCTGCAAGCTTCTCGGTTTGTTGTCTTCTCAATCTGAGCACCAAGTGCTCGTAGCATTGATCCAAAACCTAGCAGGAAATGGAAGAAAATGAAGTAGTCCAAGAGTGAGAACATTTCAAGGATGTTTATACAGGAGTCATCACAACCTACTGTATTTTTTGCATTCGTTTCCTCATATTGCCACATCCAGTAACAGAAGACAGACTTTTTATTTCTTAAAGAACTTGCACTAAGCCTACTTAGTTATGTGTATTTAAGAATGTTTTACCCCTGCACAAAATTACCTTCATATCTGTCTTATCTCAGTTAGACATAGACATTCTGAATTAGTTTTACTCCAGAGAGAAAGTAGCACATACTGGTAATGTTTGCAATAATGAAGGGATATTTGAAATTGTAAACATGCAACACAGTAGTCACAGGATACAGCATAACCTAGAGTGCACTGGTGGTTAATGGAAACACAAGAAGACATCTCATATTCCGCAACGTCATTTAAAATGCCTTGTCATCTTCTGCATTTCATGCATAAAGCAAAGAGGCCTATAATAATATTCTGCTTTGAAATGTCCAGATTATTTTTAATAGCCAGAATTAGTACTGGAATTTTTGGAAGCTATGTCAAACCACTCTGCAGAATTCATCAAAGTAAAACTTGGTAGCAAAAGAGTCCTGGCTCCTACAAACAGGTACATTTTTGCAATGCTGCTTGTAAAACTAGGCATTTCATCTTATACTATAAATCAAAAGGACAATGAACAATAGTTAAATCACACACTCTAGTTCAGTAAGGCCACTGAAATAAAAACACCAGGGATGCAATGCCACACAAATTTACTGATTTGGTAACCTTCCTGGTGGACTGTGGGAAGGGTGTGGACATAATTTATTTTGATTTCAGCAAAGCTTTTGACAAAGTGACCCATGAAATTCTGATTGGCAAACAAGCAAAAGTGGGCTAGAGGAACAACTATCAGGTGGATGCATAGTTGCCTACAGAACTGGACTCAAAGAGTCCAGTAGCACCTTCTCAAACTGGGGAGAAGTTACACGTGGGGTACTGCAGGGTTTAGTCCTGGGCCCAAAGTTCTTCAACATGTATATTAATGATTTGGATGAGGAGGTGCAGGGAATGATGATCAGATACGCAGACGACACAAAAATGGGTGGGATAGCTAATATCCTGGAAGAGAGAAACAAGATTCAAAATGATCTTGATAGGCTGGAGTACTGAGCTGAGCTGAAATGGAATGTAGTAGGGACAAACGCCAGTTTCTACACCTAGGAAAAGGGAACCAAATGCACAGTTACAATATGAAGGATACTTGGCTCAACAGTACTGCAAGGATTACAGGATTCCAAGAAGGATCTTGGAATTGTTGTAGATCATGAGCTAAATATGTATCAACAATGTGATGTGGCTGCAAAAAGGGCAAATGCTATTTTAGGCTGCATTACTAGAAACATCATTTCTGAATCTCATGATGTTCTAGTTTCCCTTTAATCAGCACTGGTTACTTATCTGGAGTACTGTGTCCAGTTTTGGGTACCACAGTTTAGGAAAGATGCAGGCAAACTGAAAAGGGTTCAGAGGAGGGCAACAAGAATGATCTGGGGACTGGAATCAAAGCTGTATGAGGAGAAATTGAAAGAAGTGGGCATGTTCAGCCTTGAGAAGAGAAGGCCGAGGGGTGATATAATAGCACTCTTCAGGTACTTGGAAGGCTGTCACAAAGAGGAAGGCCAGAATCTCTTCTCAAGCATCCCGAGTGCAGGACACAGAATAATAGGCTCAAGTTACACCAAGCCAGATTCCAGCTAGCTATCAGGAAAAATTTACCAACTTTTAGAGCAGCAAGACAATGGTCCCGTTCCCTAGGGAGGTGGTGGGCTCTCCCACACCAGAGACGTTCAAGTTGCAACTGGAGAGCCATCTGGGGGGGATGGCTTAACTTGCGGTTCTGCACTGAAAAGAGAGCTGGCCCCAGTGACCCACTTGTCCCCTTCAATCTCTGCTCTTCTATGATCTTCTTAAAGATTGAGGGCTAAGTTTCATTTCGGAGAAGCTCACAGGGGCCACATTCTAATGGCAGGCAGAGGCAGAGATAAAAGGTCAGGCCAAAACAAAAACAGGTACATTTTAGGTGTACAAAAGCCAGGAAGCCAAATGACTGGTGGTTAGTAGAAAACGGCATAGCCTTCTGGGAAATCCCAGAGAGCTGGATGTGGGCCCCCACTTCTGAGATTATTTACCTATTTTAAAACAATAAAGGCATCCTGATTTTTTGTTACAATTGACTGAGTATCCTTTCCCAATAATAACTTTTATCATAACTGCAGAATAAAGAGCACTAAGAATATTTTTTAAATGTGATTTTAAGAAAAAAACTGATTTGTAGCAAATTACCTTTTAGGTTTTCATAGTTATTGTTATGGGCAACTTTAAGGGACATATCCCACTATAATGTTTTATTTAACATAAAATAACAACAGTAAACCAACCTCCCTTTCCACCACACAGTCTAGGCTCCAGGCTGTAAACAGCTCCATCCTGTAGCACATCTTCAGAGTTAACACAACGACCATTACACTTTACATAGAAGTGGTCTTCAGGAAGTCCCTAGAAATGAGAGTTAGAGAAAGTTTCAAAAATGTATTGTGGAGAGCAACACTTTCATACTTTGTCAGTAGCAAATAGCAGTTAGAGCACTTTCCAATCAAATCATTTAAAACAGTATAGTAGCAAGTTTGTCAAGAATAAATGAGTAAATTTGGTTTTTCCTTTGGGCAGGACACAGCTCATGACCAAGTGCATGTATGCAGAGATACATAGTACAGACATATCTGACACTGTTCACACTGTCTACACTAAAACACAATATATATAATTTTTTTAAAAAAGAAAATGGAGATGCTTATGCAAAAGAAAGTTCCATCTAGATCAAGGTGAGCAACTTGTTAGCCTCTGGATATTTTGGCCTGTAACTCCTTTCACTCATAATCAGCAAAGCCTACAGTGAGGGACAATGGGCACTGGCGAACAAAGTATATGGAAAGCTACAAATTATTCTTCCTCTAAAGCAGGGGTCAGCAACCTGCGGCTCCAGAGCCGGACGTGGCTCTTGAATCCCTCTGCTGTGGCTCCGTCACTCAGCCCCCGAGCCCCCGATTTGCGACCGAGGCTCCGAGTTACAAAATACCAATAAGTGATGAAGAGGCATCCACTTAGGAACACTAGCTGGTTAAGTAAATTGCTACATTCCTCTGCTATTGTGCAGGGAAAGAGTGGAACAAGCTTCCTGCAGGCTCTCATGTTACACTAAACTGAAAAGATTCTCTTTGTCCAAATGTAATCTCCTTCATCTGAATGTTAAAAGCTTGGGACCTGTCACAATTTACATCACTTGACTGTTTATCTGCTAATCAGTCACTAAACACACCTTTATCTCACAGCCACCCCCCTCCCCGCCTTTACTGAGCTTCCCCGCACCCCACCCCCAGGCCAACCATGGATAAATCAAAGAAAAGTTTCTGAAGAAAACCTAACATTTAATGGTATGTGGGTAGTGTTTAATGCATGCAGCCCTTTAGCACGGACTTTGACTCTGCGGGAAGCTGTTCTCCTATTCAAAATATATGAAAGGAGTCCTACTAGTTTATAATGTAAGATTAAAAATAACAGTTTTAGTGACTGAACAAGAGCTTCAGCTAAATCATAAGATATAGATCTACTTCCTTATTTTAAGAAGATTCTTATAAAAATTCCAGCAACATTATTACATTGGGAGAGGGATGTTTTTTCAATATTTCACCAGACTATATTTGTTGTATTGCAGAAACTCTACTTACTGTATGGAAGTATCAATTAGTCCTTTTTTTATTCAGGTTGACAGCTGACTGCACCCTCCAGTACTTGTGATAAAAGGATGAGGGCACACAGAAGCAGACAGCAGTTTTGGTTTGCTGCAGGTGAATAATTTAAGTTCGACTTTTTATTTCATAAATATGAGGACGCAAATAGACACTGAGTATTTTATTTGAAAGTAACCTTCGACCCAGCGTCTTTTTTTTTCGGAGTTCAAAATGTTTTTGTTACATGCAGAAATAAAAATTTGTTTTCTCTGTAGCAGTTCATTGATTTCATAAATGCAACACACTATAGTTTTTTTATACACAGAATAAAGGTAAAAAAATTATATATGCAGTGTTATCTTCATTTTAGATGTCAAAAGGGTTTTGTGGCTCCCAGTGTTTTCTTTTCTGTGTGAAATGGGTCCAAATGGCTCTTTGAGTGTTAAAGGTTGCCAACCCCTGCTCTAGAGTCAGATGATCACCCCTAGCAAGACTACTGAAGGATTATTAAATCCTGAGTCGTCTTGTTTCTTGATTCAGGCTTCATATATTTCTTCTGAATGAGATGTAGAGCTTTCCTGTTTCATCCAGCACCCACTATTCAGGTCTTAGAATACATTTGATTTAACAGAGATTCTTGTTTCTATATTTTAATTTTAAACTGTTGCTACTTGGATATGTCCTTGGAAAACAAAGCTGCTAACACTGCAAACATAAACTAATTTCCCTAGATGTAAATTCCACTGATCTCATTGGAGCTTACTTTTGAGTAGACATGCATGGGATTGTACTGTAAATTTTGCACTATAGAACACAAAAGATGCACCCCCTTTTGGAAAATTTCAGCTTCTTCTAAAATTGAAAGACCACTCCTAAAAACAAGAGTGGAAACAAATTTTAGTGCAGCAATTGTGTGAAATGCCTTTTTACTGAAAAACGATATATATTCAGGGTAAAATAAACGTCAAAAAGGACGCCCCCCTTACAATAGCCACTTACGATTTCTAACTTACATTGGTTCTAACTTACATTGGTAACCCTTAGTACAAATCCAGATGAGCAATCATTCTGAATGCGAATGAACAAACAGAGTAGAGGATTCGGTTTCGTGTTCATGACCCTAGAAAGCCGCTCACACATTTCCTTCCGCTTCGAAAAAAGAAGACTAACCCACCCACGCTATGACGCTCTTCCTAGTCCCCCCCTACTCACCGAACGGTATGCAAGAGAGACTAAGGAAACTCCCTCTTCGTATCTGGAGCCGGTCTTTGACTGTAATAAAGCTTTTATCTATCTATCTAGACCTACTCGTATCTCCTGCTGCCCTTACAAAGGCCTAGTCACCCAACGTCTTACAAACAAGCCTATTTACCTGCGCCAGGCAACAGGCGTGCCGTAAATCCCACACTGACCGACCTTCAGCCGGCAGAAATACCGGCTGCACTCCGAACACCAACGGACCCCGCACAAACAACGCCATTTTCTCTCCTTCCATAACAGCTGCCGCCACCCTGTTCTCTTTTCCGGTAATGTGGTCGGCGCGTACTAGTGACGCAAGGGGTAAGCAGGAAGTAGGGCATTGGAAGTCGCTCTGCCAGCAGGCGAGCTCCCTTGTAGTTTCCTCTTAGACTCACGTGACATAGATTAGGGTAGGAGAAGGGAGGGGCTGTGCGCGCGCGCAAAGGGTGGGTCCACGAGGGATGTCTGAAGGAGGCAGATAAAGCGGAGGGGGAAGGGCAGCATGTTTGGAATTGGCAGGCTGACAGGGCGAGGGAAACAGACAAGCGGGCGGATGGCGCTGCTGAGCGGCGGGAGCTACAATGTCTCCCCGGCTCATGGCGGCTCCTCGAGTTTACTGCCCCCCTTGAGCCAGAGCAGGACTGCTAGCTGCATGGCTTCCTCCCCGCCCTACTCTCTTGGCCAGTCTTCAGCCCGTCGGCCTTCTGGCCGTACATTTGGTGGCGCTACTAGAACCCCTGAAACTTCCATTGTTCTGCAACGCGTGGACATTTTCTCCGTGCTGTTTTTCCGACATGATGATGAAAGGGAGGAGGAGGAGGAGGAGGAGGAGAGCGGGAAAGTCCCCGCTTGGTTAACGAGCAGTCTGTGTGGTGTGCGTTTCTTTTAAGGAACTGCAAGCGAGGCTGGGGCCGGAAAAGGCGACCCGGGACTTATAGCAGCCCCATTCGAGACTTGCCTCCTCCTCATATCTCCAGGCAAGAAGATTAGAGCAGTTGGTATATATATACACCCGCAAAGGAGCATTCCCTTCTCCCCGCCCCCGCTTCCTTTGCCAGCATAGTTCATTGTGCTCGTGAGCAAACGCCATATTCCCTGACAATGCCAGCTTGAGAGCGACGGTCTGGAGGACTCCGGGGCAACGATCTGTGGAGCCTCGCCGTCTCTCTCCAAGGTGGTTGCCACAGCAGATGCGACCGCCCGTGTCAGCCTGCCTGTGGAAACAAGGGCGAGAGAGGAACGATGGCTGCGCTCGTTTCGGAGGCGAGGCGAGACACACGCAGCCCACTCACAGGAGCTGCCGCTTGAAGCAACACGACTGTCCTTTCTGGAGAAGACTGTGCGTAAACGCTGAGGAAGGAGGGGGAACTAAGGCGGGGGAAACCGCCTCGAATTACACAATGCTCCAGCAACAACAGCAGGCTCCTTCACGCCACCCGTTTTCTCCGAAGAGATGACAAATGTGTGTTAGTGAACGCGCTCACATATGAACACGCTCGCTCTCTTCTCTCTCCCCCTCCCTCTCTTTCTCTCCCATAGACTGGACACTCAGCTTGTAAAACAAGCACGACACAGGTCTGAATAGTTGCTCAAGGCATTTGAAAAGGAGGCGGCGGCGGCAAGGGAATAGCTAAGGCAGCAACCTCATACGGACCTCCATAATGACTGCTTATGTCAAGGTGTGGCTGGGTGCCTCATGTATGCCTCATTCAGAGGTCGAGAGCCACCTTCAGTAAGGACTGGAGGTGTTGATTTGGTATGCGGAAAAGGCACTACACATACGCAAACACGTTTTTCTTCAGCCAGTCTAAAGGTGCACATAACAGTCACTAAGTATGAGAGATTCGGGTGCAAATGCCCAAACAACTTCTGGAACAGATCTCAGTAACATCTGTTCAAATGGGAATCATGAAAATGCCATGAAGAAGAGCTGGTGCTGGGAATGCAGCTTCAGAAAAGGATTCTGTATAGCTTGGTCTGCTACAGAAATTGGCATTGCCATCCTTTAGCATGGTGTAAAGTACAATTTTGATAAAGAGGTGTTCTAACTACACAGCCTCGTAGTTATGAAACAGTTATGATTTGAGACTGGATGGTTCATTTTTAAAATGAAAGACAGCAAGGTTCAAGAGTGTGTGGATGCATTCCTTGAACTGGCTTCTAACCTCCGATGCATAAGAACTATCTAGCTTGCCTACAAGGAAAAGAAACACACACGCTGCACATATTCAGCAGCACTTTCTGTCATTCCTATATTCCAGGGATGATTTTAGAGTTTGGAGGGCTGAGCTTTGGAACAAATATCATAGAGATCTGCATTCATGTCTAGGCATTGCCACAGTCATCTGGCTGAAGTTAGAAATCAAAATTTACCTCTGAATTAACCCCAGTAGTATTATTAAATTTCATGGCATGAGTTTTATTCCCTCCACCCCCCAACCCCCCCCACTAAACAAACCTTCAAATTTATAAAAAGGCAAACGAGACATATCCAATTAAAACTAAAGTTGAGTTAAAATCAAATGCAAAATATACAAATTTAAAAACAAAACATGACCAATAAATAGTTTCGGCATTTTGCCCTAGTCCAAATTATACAGCAGCACTAATTTAAGTTTCTGAGTGGATTTCAAGGGTGACCCCATTTAGATTATAGTGCAGTAGTCCAAATGAGATGTAACTAATGCATGTAAGACTAAGGCATTCCATGTCTGACTATACCAGGAATGGATTCATCTGGTTAAAGCTGACCAAAAACTACAAAATGCCCCATCATAGGAGGGCAGCCTAGAAGGATACCCCCATGGATAGTACCACAAGCTCCAGAGAGGTCAGGTAGAACCTAAATGGTTCTGTTACCCTGTTTAGCTCCTGACAAAGATAACCTAGTAAGATGGCCAAACCCAGCTCTGAAGCTGGACTGAAATAGATCAAATAATCAGCTACATCCAGGAATTCTTAGAGCAGAGTGGCCACCAAGCACTTTAGCCAAAGATGGAATGTTTGACACTAGCTTATAATGATTTAAACAGTGAGGTCCAAATGAGATTTCTTTAATAAAGGACAAACTACCATCACTTTTAGGCAGCAGGCAATAGTATTGTCATGTACAGAAGAGTTACAGTTTCTATCATCCAATTAGCCAGTCCACCTCTGGTTACTTTTACAAGCTAGGATGGGTAAGGGTTAAGTGCACATGTAGACAACTGCACTAGTCCAAGAATCTTATCCACATTCTCAGGTTGCAAAGGCTGAGAAGAATCCCAAAGTAATTTCAGAAGGTGCATCATTTGACTGATAATAATGGAGTCTTAAGTTGAAATGAATGCAGTCCATTTTATCTCACAAATTGGTCACAGCAAGCTATTCAGGTATCCAACTGCTGGGGACTTTAATATAAAAAGCCACAGCCCACCCAGAAAAGCAAAGCTAACTGACTGCTTTGATTTAGTGGTGATGTTAAGCTTTCTTTACTGCTATTGTTACTTCAGAGTAGCCTCCCAAATGGGCTCCCACCTGTGTTTGATCAGATTAGTCACAAGACTTTCTCTTTTATTGCTCTGGTTTCTGGCTCTCTATCCTTTTTTTCTGAACAATTATTTAGAAAACCAGGGAGCAACTTTAGCTGGTCACAAGAGAGTACTCAGGAGCTATCGTGTCAATGGTTCAGGTCATTTCCTCATTCCAAATCATTTGAAAGATATCTGGAGCCAAAGTTTGGAACATTTCAATATGATTCCCATTCTTGTGGAGATTGGGATCCCTGGGAAGTCTCAACCCTTCCAGGTGGTGATCTATCCAAGATCAAATGAGTAATTTGAGTATCCTCCACCATCTTCCCAGCAGTAGAAACCAAGTCCAACATGTGTCCAACCTGATAAATATGGCCAGCTAAAGTAGGGAGTTTGTTGGCCAGCAGAACAGATGGTACAGAATCTGTGTCCTGTCTTGCATACCCTATAACAACAAAGGCACTCAAAATTTGCTGCCTGCTCAGCAGGGAACCTGGACAGGGAGATGGACTCATGATAGATGGGACAAGGACAGCATTAACCTGCCTTTCTACCCCTTTATTTAGACACTTGTGTGCTGAAGGCCCTCTGGGCGGCTCACAAAAACAATGGCAGAAACAATCAGCAAATTGAAAAACTAATAATCCAACATCATAAAACAGTAATTAACATGGGAACAAGAGACAATGCACATAACAAAGAGCATGCAGTGAGAAAAACAAAATAAGATCATAAATTGTACTAAAACCAGATACAAAATAAAAATGTCTTCACCTGGCAACGGAAACTGAACAGTGAGGATGCTGGTTGCACCTCCTTAGAAAGTGTGTTCCAAAAGTGAGGTGCAATAGCAGAAAAAGCCCCCTTTCATGTCATTTTCCCCTTTGCTCATATGTTGAGACTTAGTTGCTGCTAGACCTTGAAACCTAGTGGACAAAGCCATGAATGAGATAAAGCTCCGTTCACTTCATCCAGACATATCTCTGTAATATATATAGGATCAGTATGCTCATTTAGGATGTTGTCCTGGGTGGCCAAGGTCTTACTATTAACAGATCTGAGACTGACCAGCAACACATTTAAGATTACTAGTTGATATCACACTAGTTTCTGGGCTCAATTTGATTTGCTAGGTTTTACCTTTAATGCCATAAAATGGGACCTGGATAGATTAAAATACCTCCTCCCGTATTTCTCCAATTACATGTTCCATTCATAGAAATGGAGCGGCATAGAAATTTTCTAAATAAATAAATAAATAAAATTCAGTGTGAGAGGTTCTGTTCCATGTGCCCTGCCAACTGAAGTTCAGCGGTTGTCCACCAAGAGCAAGGCCTTTCCGGTGGATGCACCAATTCCTGAGTGAGGCTGGCCTAGCTCTAATACTGGCAGCCTTCAGGCTGTAGGTAAAACCTGATTCTTTTGCAAACGATTTGGGTCAGTTGATTCTTGTTGCTTTGAAAAGGATTTAACTGTGTCATCCTGTTAGCACAAATGACAGCATGGTGCAAGGGGAGAATTCAACTATAGTCAGATTTGAGCAAGCATGGTTGTACAAGCAGTTGCACCACCCATTGTGTTAGTAGTTGTGTATTATGCTTGCGTCGGCTGTTGAGCCTTATACTTCCACAACAGGTTGCACAAGCATAAGGAAAATAAAGTGCAACTGCGTGTGCAGTAGAAAGATTTGGGAGAGCTCCTCCAACATTACATGACCTGACTGGATATTGCCCCTTTTTTGCTCTTATGAGTTATTTTTTATTCTGTGGACT